TAAAACTAGCGTTTTATGAAAAACTGTCTGGATATCAGTTGCACATTATTCCGTTATGATTTTCAATTTAAATATTTCCCTTTTGAAATTCCAAATTTGATTCCTTGATCAGTCATTATTTCTGACGTAAAGTTTTTATTGGATGCTGTGCGAGATTCCCATATGCACAGTTTCTGTTTTATGAAATACCTTGCATTTGGACAAAATGTTCCATGTTCACAGATTAAACTATGTAACTATGCGAATCGGTGCACTCGGCGTACTTGTAGTTCCATTTAATCTTGTATCGATTTCGTGGTATGGTGGATGGAGCGCTTTCTCTGGGAGCAATATCTCGTCGTGTCGATCTTCATACCAAAAGACGTTAACAGGTGGTACTTGTTGTTAACCTGTCTGGCTGATCATATCGGAGTCAGTATATTGTGTCGACTGACTGACTGACTGACTGAGTTTGGTTTTACGCCGCTTTTAGCAATATTCCAGCAACATCACGGCGGGAGACACCAGAAATGGGCTTCACACATTGTACCCATATGGGGATTCGAACCCGGGTCTCCGGCGTGACGAGCCAACGGTCTAACCATTAGGCTACCCCACCGCCCCGTATATTGTGTCGAAGTGGGATACCCATGTTAAACTGTGACGTGCTCAGCATGGTAAACAGTCTGTAAAGCGAATAACAACCACAAGAACCATGGATGTAGCTATACAAGTGCAAAAATGTTAAACTCAACAAACAAATCATTCGTTGAGATTTGTTACATGACGAATGACACAGGTACATCTCAGTAGCAAGTCAAGTTTTGTTTTATCAGCAATGTTCCATCAATGACATGGCAATCTGTGAACAACCCAGTCCAGGACAGACGAACCAGTGGTTGATGGTATGAACAACGCCCCACCTAATGTAACAATGCTGCATAATCAACAAAGTCAGCGATCCTGACCACAAGATTCTCTTTATTACCTCTAATGACAATCATACCTCGGATAGAATTTCTCAGGGGCAATTTAAGCAAATATTATCCCATCTATCAGATAAACTCCCCATCAAAAGTTTAGACTCACTAGTGTACATATAGCCACTCACTTCAGGCAACTGTTCTAAACTAAATTTTGCAAAATATTCCATACTGTTTAAAGGTGCTGTTTATACATGAACTGATGTATTGTAAAACAAATTCATAACGTTGAAAAACTTATTGTCATGCGTTCAATAAATGATGAAACTCGGTTAAAAAAGGCGAATTCTTATCAAAACTTTACACCAAAACGCAGCTGTTCACATGCACGATATTTGCATATACTTGTCAGAAGTTTGATACATAGTCCTGCCTAATCTGCATAAGGTTTGCAGTTGTTTCCCCCGAGTTAGTGGAGAAATTCATCTTCGTTGTAACCATATATACATACATAACATATAGTGAATGTTTTAAGTGAGTCTAAACTTTTGATGGGTAGTATATAGGCCAATATTCCTGATATTGATCAGTTCCCTGAACTTCAGTCTGAGTTTGATTGACTTGTTTTATTTATAATCGGGGGGACTATTTGGTGCACTATGCCTACAGTATATATCATTTCTACAACCACTATTCCTCCTCAATTACCATGTTTGCCTGGTCACCTTACAGTTCCCAGTCTTGCGAATCCAACACCTCCTCTTGTTCCTACTTACAGTAAGTTGCTGTGGCAATTGTTAAGAGGTTGCATGGAATCTCTAGGTTTATATGTCGTTGAGGAATAGTCTAGCAAGAATTTGGACGTTTGAAACACGAATGTTTAAGGTTGAAGATGTTAATATTCATTGTTTTTTGTGAGATCTATAAAAACTATCAATACTCGATGTGAATTATTAATATGTTATCTTCTCATATGTGTATTGCTATCGGGCAATGAATAAATGATCATGAATAAGTTTTTGAAAGAGCAAGAAAAAGAGAGAAACGGAGAGAGATAATGACAATAGGGAGAATGGCTGATAAATTAATTAAAATGCATGATATTGTTCATACAGATTATTTTTAACCTCTTAGGATGAACCTCCAATTTGATTAACAACACGAATGTTCAAGAATGGATATAAAATCTGGCCATAACCTACTATACCCATGTGGGGAATCGAACCCCGTTTTCAGCGTAACAGAGGAATGTGTACTTCACACCGATATACCACCGACGGCTTAACTGAGGAAACAGGCGAAATTTAATCATACTAACAAACGTCTAAACGCCAGAATCTTGCCCTTGTCAGTAAATGAATCATTGGCCTCATTCCACGCACCGCCATAGCCTAAACACGTCACGTTATTGACAGGTAATACATTTCCCCGGGACCCTCAATGACGTTCACCTTGACCTGGGCGAGATGTAAGCAACCGTTGTATGCTTTATTACGACTCTGTAATAGCGCCACTGACACTGATGTGGTTAGGGACATTCTATTGATCATATACAGCGCCCACCATTACATCTATCTCAGACCATTTGCCAATCTCAAGTCTACAGATGCCCTCTGGTCAATTGGGCAGTCTAGACATGAGATAGCCCGAACCATCAGGCCCTACTTTTGTATTTGGAATGTCCTGGAGCTATACATCATACGCATGATGCTTTAGGGGAGGATATTGCGAAAAGGATGAGTTATTACATTTGTCTGTCTTATTGCACTTCAATTCATATAAATGAAAAGTACATATAACGCCCTCTGAAAATTGAGCAATTACTGACTGTCACGTGATTATTCCAGATCTCACAGTGACAACCTCAAGAAAGGATCAACCGTGCATGTTGTCAGTCTGGAGGCAAAACGGTTCCGATATTGTCATTTTGGTATAAGTTTAGTGGAGATTGTTCACATCGTATTTATACTCAGATACTGGGAGTGTCCAGACGAGGGAACATTCGGCCTGGATGTTGCGAGACGTTTGCATGCAAACGGAATGCAATTTTGACATCAAACTGATGTCAGGTGACCCACAGTAAATATGCGAGAGCGATGTTTTCAGAAATACCCGCAATATCCAAACACGTATTGCAAATAGTGGGTGTATGAGAGACACTGAAACTCTGACTTAGATGAAGGTAATCTTCGTTGAACACAATCGTCACCTTTCTCACAAAACTGATAAAAAGACAAAACGAGTCCTACATTCACGCAGAGCTACCATCCCAATAAAAAAAGCTTCTCTGAGATGCTGGGTCCTGAGGCCAACGCATAATTGAAAATTCCCTTCTCCTAATAGTCACTGAAAACGATATATTCACCGAAATTCCTATTTGTGTGATTTTTGATGATTTTTATTTTATTTTTCATATGAACCGTTTGAACCGTGAGATTTATCAGTTTTGTCGTGAAAGACGCGAGTATCGTTCCATATGCGTTAGAGTTGGCAGGTATGTGAACAATACCTCTCACTCTTGATAATGATACAACGTTACCTTATATCATGCGAACAATGTATATTTTTGTTTGTTATGAAATGAAGCAAAACATGTCCGGTTCTATGTCAGACCACGTCCATTGTTATTACAATACAACAACATGTCTAAACATCCAGATTTATCTCCCAACTGGGCTCTCAGAATACCATTCATGTTGGGTAGTGGATATTGGTTTTGTCAGATTCACTGAAAAAAATCAAGTTCGATATTTCACTGTGTGATCAATTTGTTTCAGGACACAAGTTACTCGTGAAATAACATACCAATTTGATAGAAATCTGAAAAACTATTCGCAAGCCTCTACAGTGTATTTGATCATTTGCTTGCTCCTCGGTGAGCGCAGTTAAATAAAACATGATTTTTTTAAAGAGAAAAGGTTTGGTCGTGCAGCAATACGCATAGACAATCATCAGAGCGCATGAGAGATTGCAGTGTTACAAAACGGCTTAAAAAATCACGTACAATTTCAAGTCAAACATCCCATTTGCAGCCAGAGACGAGTATAACTTCTTGGAAGATTATAAAACGTGTTGTATTATAAACTTTATCGTGGTTTTGGGGAAGCTTGCAAAATCAGGAAACACGAAATCATTACAAATATCGATTACGTCCAAATGGCCTCCCTTCTAGGTCAGGTAATATCGTTTACATCCAGTCCCACTGGTGCCGGGCTTAGTTTTATTAAAATATTTATATTACATCATTGAATTCATCAAAGTAAAGAACATCATTAAGTTATTATATCGACGTTGTATTACCCCGAAATCATTTCTTTTACCTCAAGGCACTTAATATATACACGTTTTGTGTGTAGCGTATTCCATATGCAATTTTGTAGATTGAAAATGCATTGTTTTTAAGAGTGGGGATAGTTCCCCAATACTTCAATCGATAACATGTCAAGGGGAGTAATTGATTTTCCACATAGGTCTGAGACTCGGTGGAATCACGGTGCTGTCAGGCAAGTGCAGTGCATTAAGTTCTATGACAGATTGGATTTCGCCAATGACTTACTGCACTGCTTTGGTATGTCGTTTTGCGTGTGGAGTGCACGTGCGTGTTTACCCGAAACGTGTGTGCATTATTTCTTCTGTCATTAGGGCATACTATACACATGTATATTGGATTAATCACATTCAGTTTCTTTCGTAAAAGATGGTAATTTATTTTTTCCATCGAATTATTCATTTTGTGTAAAGAATTATTTGTAGATAGGTTTTCTTTGGTTGAGGCAAATCGAATTTAATACACTACCGGTCTTGTTTTTGTTACCCTATAATATGGTATTATACACGGCAGAGGTAATTTAATCTCGATTGTTTGGTGGATTAGAGGAGAAACCTTCTAAATCTGCATAACCTGGCTTCTATGTTTCATCTGGATTAACTAAGTTTCCGGGAAAAGGTTATAAGTGAATAAATATACCCCAGCTGGGATATGGTAGGGATGTTTGTGAACAAGCCAGATACTATTTTAAACAGACCCGGCGAACTTGATGAATATATAGTTATTGTGCTTCACTCTCATTTACCATTTGGTGCCGACATTGGAGGAAGCTGTTGCGCTGTGGCTCAGGAAACAATGTCGTAATGTATCTGGGAGTAGATCTTGAAAAGAGTTATTGATTATTCACTGTTTACATTTCTCAGGGTTTCAGACGAATGCTATTATAAGGATTAATTATTCAAGCGTATTCTCAACACAGGGCCAACATTTGAACAATGTGCGTCAATACAGGCTAGTCGTTGCCGCAACGTCAACGACGTGATCGACAATACACATGACGTTGTACATCACTACCTCGAGCAAAACACAACATGCCATGCACAACAACGGGGCAGGGAGGCGAGAACCAGACCACGTACTACAGAATACAGGCAGGCGCAGCGGAGATTTCCACCATGTACAGTCGACCACTGTAGGGTACAGGGAAGGACAGCGTGGGCTTCCACTAAAGAGTCGACCAAGGTACAGAGAAGGACAGCGTGGGTTTCTACTGTGTACAATCGACCACTGTAGGGTACAGTGAAGGACAGTGCAGGCTTCCACTAAGGAGTCGACCAAGGTACAGAGAAGGACAGGGTGGGTTTCTACTGTGTACAATCGACCACTGTAGGGTACAGAGAAGGACAGTGCAGGCTTCCACTAAGGAGTCGACCAAGGTACAGGGAAGGACAGCGTGGGTTTCTACTGTGTACAATCGACCACTGTAGGGTACAGAGAAGGACAGTGCAGGCTTCCACTAAGGAGTCGACCAAGGTACAGAGAAGGACAGCGTGGGTTTCTACTGTGTACAATCGACCACTGTAGGGTACAGAGAAGGACAGTGCAGGCTTCCACTAAGGAGTCGACCAAGGTACAGAGAGGGACAGCATGGGTTTCTACTGTGTACAATCGACCACTGTTGGGTACAGAGAAGGACAGTGCAGGCTTCCACTAAGGAGTCGACCAAGGTACCGAGAGGACAGCGTGGGTTTCTACTGTGTACAATCGACCACTGTAGGGTACAGAGAAGGACAGTGCAGGCTTCCACTAAGGAGTCGACCAAGGTACAGAGAAGGACAGCGTGGGTTTCTACTGTGTACAATCGACCACTGTAGGGTACAGAGAAGGACAGTGCAGGCTTCCACTAAGGAGTCGACCAAGGTACAGAGAGGGACAGCGTGGGTTTCTACTGTGTACAATCGACCACTGTAGGGTACAGAGAAGGACAGTGCAGGCTTCCACTAAGGAGTCGACCAAGGTACAGAGAAGGACAGGGTGGGTTTCTACTGTGTACAATCGACCACTGTAGGAAACAGAGAAGGACAGTGCAGGCTTCCACTAAGGAGTCGACCAAGGTACAGAGAGGGACAGCGTGGGTTTCTACTGTGTACAATCGACCACTGTAGGGTACAGAGAAGGACAGTGCAGGCTTCCACTAAGGAGTCGACCAAGGTACAGAGAGGGACAGCATGGGTTTCTACTGTGTACAATCGACCACTGTTGGGTACAGAGAAGGACAGTGCAGGCTTCCACTAAGGAGTCGACCAAGGTACCGAGAGGGACAGCGTGGGTTTCTACTGTGTACAATCGACCACTGTAGGGTACAGAGAAGGACAGTGCAGGCTTCCACTAAGGAGTCGACAAAGGTACAGAGAGGGACAGCTTGGGTTTCTACTGTGTACAATCGACCACTGAAGGAAACAGAGAAGGACAGCGCAGGTTTCCACTAAGGAGTCTACCAAGGTACAGAGAAGGACAGCGCAGGCTTCCACCATAAGTACCTTCGACCACTGTAGGATACAGAGAGGGACAGCGAGGGCTTTCGCTACGGACTGTTGAGGAAAAGGAGCTTCCACCGCGTCAGCTGACCGCTATCGTGTACAGACGGGAACAGACCAGACAGCAGGTATACGAAGACATGCCTGAGTACCCTGTCTTGTTTGGCCCCTGTTGCGATAAACATGGCTTGCTGAAGACCAATTCTAACCCGGATCGCTAGCAGCAGCAACAGCAACAACCTTATCACCATCACCACCATTATCATTATTCCTATAATTGTTTGAAATCAGACACATCCTTCATCACAGACTGATATTTATGGATGCAGTTCCCATCGCCCATCTCATAACGTCCTTTTGATATTCAAAAGAGCCATTAAGTCACAGAAAAGAAACAAACCGTTGCAATCAATACATTGTGTTTGTCATCTATAATGTCAAACGTGTTGTGACAGATCTAATAATGCCCGTACCTTCAGACATTGTAGCAAATAACACCCATAGTCTGCCACAGGCACAGATGAACACTAGATAATTAGAGATCTGATTTCTACGTCTATTTTCAATAAACTCCTTAATCTTGTAGCTTTTGATGACGAAGATGCGAACACTGCCAGATAATGATGTTCTACGTTTCGTAAATGCACCAAGTTTCCTAACGACGCCTATGCTGGTCAGAGGACGTTCATGATTGATGTTTGAGATTGGTTGAAGTAAACGTCTTTCGCAAATTGGTGCTTTCATTTTCAATTCCAGATAGTTCACCTCGTCCGTATCTGACAGCCATGGCTACGCCACGCCTGCAACTCCGTCGTATTAGAAGCTCTATCACTCACACACGTCCGCAGCCATGGTCACTTCGGCATCCTCCCATCTTCCAGGAATCAACAGGAATGTACAGTACTGTGTTGTCCTTTTGTCCTTGTGCTGAGCACAATGTAAGATCTTACTCCCACCTAAAGCACACGTGCGTGTGTGTCTGAATGTTGTTTTACGCCACACACAATATCTTAGCCATATCGTTACGAACTGTGAGCTATCGAGTCGGGGCCAGGCGAGTCATTTGTTGCTTGCTTCAGCGCTGACATGGGTACTAGGGATATATTCCCAACGTGTAACCATCGGGAATTGCTTACCGGTACAAACCTAACTACCAACAAATGTTAAGCATGTATGGAATTTGTTTCATTTTGACCCTAACGTAAAAATTTGAGAAAATCTGTTCGTATGCTCTGTTGTTTAACCTTACAGATAGAGGTCATATGTTTTGAATCAAGGATATTGGGGATGAGGAGGACGATCACAGCTTCAGCTCCATGGGGTATTTGAACATTTTGAACTTCTGTGCATGCTTTTGATATCACTCGATGTTAGTAATAACTGACATTCATTCATACTACACTGTGTCGGTATTCCCCACATGGTTACTAAAAACACGGTCAGCTAAAACACGGTCTTTATCATTTGTACTCTTTTACAGTCAATAAATATCAATATCACGTTTGCTCCGTGATACATGTAAGTGAGCGAGTGAAAAAAATAACGTCGCATATTCATTGTTGCAACTGATGATAAAAATGATTTTAAAGATTACGTATACATTAGAAGAATAGGGTTCCTGAGTTTTTTTCCGAATACATAGTTATAAAAAAACGGGCAAAAGAATGCACACACCGTCATTTGATGGTGACCAGAAATGAATGAAACTAAAACCGGTTTTTCGATGTTGATGTTTTCTATCTGCACGGACATCATAGTTGTGTGTTGGACCTTAAAGTTGGCTGTGTTTGGGGGATTATTTCAGACAAGTAAAGGTTTTATAACGTTTGTAGTTTTTGTGAAATGCAGTTGTATATTAAGTTTTCTCACACCAGGATGTTTACATATATAGGCGTATGTGTCCCAAACACATCCCATCATGATGTATCATATGTCGACCAAGTCATGCATTAAAGCCAAGTCGGGGGCGGTGGGGTAGCCTAGTGGTTAAAGCGTTGGCTCGTCACGCCGAAGACCCAGGTTCGATTCCCCACATGGGTACAATGTGTGAAGCCCATTTCTGGTGTCCCCCGCCGTGATGTTGCTGGAATATTGCTTAAAGAGGCGTAAAACCAAACTCAGTCAGTAAGGCCAAGTCGTGTCAGTACGCTATAACACAATATACAAAACACATATGTCTCGACCCCTGATTAGATATGTCGTGTGTATAACGAGTTATAATTTCATGTCATGATTGCCATTAATAATATATGATTTATATTAGCACAAAAATACATCCATTGCGCCCCAAGACCTCCGAGGTTATGCCCCCCGTTATCAATGATATTTGCCCATGTCTGAGTGGTTCATTTAACGGTGACGATGGAACGCGAAGAGTCCGGCAAGTGCCAAGTAACCACTGTCACAAGTACTGGCACTGTGTCTATGCTGACAATTAGCTGCTCAGTTCTGTTCCTGCTCAAGTGGCCAGCAAGGAAATAGCTGCATAGTAATCCCCCTGTGCAATCAGCTGACCAGACAATAGCCAGTGGTCAAGGGGAAGCGGTTGTCAGTCAGGCTGACCAAGACCTTTCACACATAACCCAATCTTGAGGTGTGTGCTTAAACATAGAGGAAATGGTTTCTCCGCCAGTGTTTATGCAGGACGAAATAGGTTCTTTCAGGTTGACCGAGAGGAAGCAAGGTCTGCTAGATGGAGTGTTTGATGAATTCTCGTTATATAATCCAGCCTTATAGGCTTCGTTTAGACAAGGGCTTAATTCGATGTTGACCCGAGCAAGATGTGCCTTGTAAAACCGTCCCGAAAGAGTTGAAGACGGCCATGTGGGAAGCGGAAGATGCAAAACAATGAACGATTCTTCACTGCATGCATTGTTTGAAGATTCGCAAAAACGATATTATCGACAAATTATCGTATCATTGACAGCACTAAGACCCAAGATACATAAACACACGAATGTAAGAAACTGGTGTCAGTAAAGACGAAAATAAACATTTTCAGCATTACACACTCACAAAAAAACCAGCGATCAGGGAAAGAATACTTTAACAAGTTTATCAGGTAGGCAAACATGCTTCGTTATTCTTTGTATGAAACAAGCGGATGTCAATAACACTAAATCCAACACATTTGCCTGAGCCTGGGATGGAGGTCAACTAGATCTTGACATTGGATGATTTGAACGTTCCTCAACAAGAAATCCTTTGTAATGTTTTCGAACTGGGCAATGTAGAAGATAGGTAACATGTTCTGAATATTTTCGAAGACGTATGATGAATTACATCAACTCTATATACCAAATATACA